AATGAAATATGTGTAGTGTGGCCCCTTTCTAATTGAAAATCTTTTTGAATAAATGAGTATGTCTCCAAGTATAGTTGAATATGTAAATGTATATTTGCACTACACATAAATGCAAAGATAAAGGTTTGGAAATAAAAACCCCAACCTAACAAAGGTTAACTAACTAAATAACAATGGTTGCCTGGTATAGAAATCATCTTGGGCATAAAGAAAGGAAAGGGGACAAGAGAGCCTCCCTGGTGGCGGAGGGGGTTAAAGCAATCCGCAGCCTCAGCATCACAAGTTCGATCCCCAGCTGCCAAGGAGCAACCCACATGGCGAAATAGACCTCTACCTCCTTGCACGCTGCTCCCCTCAGCAGTGTATTTCGGTCAGTCTACCTATTCTGTTCCCCACTCTGTCTCTGGTGAATCCTCTTCACCCCCCACACCTCTGGCTTGTACCCCAGCTCTCTTATGCATAAATAAATAAATCCATTTAAAAAAAGGGGGGGGGGACAAGAAGTAAAGGAAGACTTTTAGCTTTTATGCTATATATTTATTATTTGAATTTTTATAATTATAATGTATCATATTTGTCAGTTAAAATATATAAATGAATAGCAGAACCTAAATATTTATTAGCTGTATGCTGTATCTCCTCAACTTATTGTAGTGATTATTTTATTTATTTATTGAGCATTCATTTATTTAACACTCAGAGCATTACCCCTATGTGTGGGGAATATGCTAAGCATTTGCACTGGCTTTGGGGCTTAGAGCCTATTTTTTACAACCCAGGGACAAATGAGAGTTACTGCTTTCCTTAGGATACAGTGGTGAATTTTAAGTCAAGCTCTAATTTTTATTATTACTTTTTGGGTCACAGGGCCAAGGATGACATATTTTCTTCTTCTGGAATTTGTACTAAATATTCTGAAATACAGTGGGTTTTTTTACAGTTAAAAAAAAAGTGTGTATTAATTCACTCAGCAATAGTTAGAGTCCCTGCTATATGCTTGGCACTATGCTGGCCATTGGACACCAAAAAATGAACAAATAACATATGGTGTCTACCTAGCCTCTTAAGGAGTTGGGAATTTTGCATACCTGCTAAAGTTGATAAATAGTAGTATGAAAAACTGAAATATGTATTTTATTAATCCTGTACTAAAAGTGAAGCTGGCAAAATACTCTAATAATAAAAGTTAATCTTAGTTTGACCCATAAAACCCACCTTAACGTTTATGTAAATGTGAAATTTTCAATTATTTTAGTGCTAAAGTGAATAAATTAGTAAAAGGACAGAGAACATAAAAGGTGCAGAGGAACAGAACGTACTCTCTGAGTGGTGGGTTCTAGCATAAGCTACACCATGAAGAGACTGCTACTAGGTTTATTTCTCTGAATCTGTTTCGCCACAGGACACATGGAAATCCAATCTACCTTATTAGGATAGGAGAAAACAAGGGATTTCTTTGAAAGCATAACAAAATCTGATTATGAGGCTGTAGGGCCCTGACACCTGCTTTTTTATTATTTGATTTGATTTTTTATTTATTTTCTCCCCACTCTGTCAGTGATTGGCCAAACAAATTGTGCAAACACAATTTAACTTCTGCATGCTTCATGAAGTGGAAAGAATGCAGGAAGCAGTCAGAAGAACTGAGTTTACATTTGGGCTCTGCATTACTCTTAAGAGCAAATTATTTAAATTCTTTACACCTTAGCTTCCTATTTTACAGGATTATTTAAAAAGGCTATTTGAGAAAATAGAGGTGAAAACATCCAGTTAAAAACTATTATAAATTAAAATTTTTTCCAAAGATATACAAATGGTAAAAATATGAAAAAATGTGCAACATTATTAGCCATTAGGAAAATACAAACAAAAACTACAATCAACTGCAATTTCACACTCCCTAGGGTAATAATATCAAAAAAGACAATATGAAAGTGTTAGAGAAAAGGGAACCCTCATACTTGCTGGCAAAAATATAAAACGGTACAGGAACTGTGGAATATAGTTTGGCAGTTTCTCAAAAAATTAAACAAATTACCGTACAATTGGGCAATTCCACACCTAAGCATGTACCCAAGAGAACTAAAAATACATCAGTGTGTCCATGGAAAAACCTGTAAATGAGTATTAACAGCAGCATTACTCAAAACAGCAAAAAAGGAGAAACAATCCAATGTCCATCAATTGATGAATGGATTTAAAAAAATGTGGCATATCCATAAAATGGAATATTATTCAGCCATAAAAAGAATAAAGTGCTGATATAAGTATAGTATGGATCAACTCTGAAAACGTAATGCTAAGTAAAAAAACAAAGGCCATATATATTATATAATGGTGTTCCTATGAAATGTCCAGAAGAGGCAAACCCATATAGCAAAGATGTTTGTCTTGTGAATACACTAAAACCACTGACCTGTATACTTTAAGATGATTTCTGTAGCAAATGAATTGTATCTCAAATAAAAAGAAAACTTACAAAAATTTTTCTCTGTTACTTTTTATAAGTAAATACCCTACTTTTTCAAAAGTTGCTTCTGCTACTTATAACAGCTAGGAAAGCTCTTTGAAGTTAGATGGTACACAATAAATGGTTATTTTTAGTATGGTAAAACTACTAATTATGTCAGAGAAACTTTCTGTAGATCATATCAATTTGGTATAATTTTATTTCTTCAAAAGAAAGGTCTCTATTAATACCAAGTTTACGTTTGTTGGGGGGGAGCATATAAAGAGCATCAAAATGTCTTTATAGCTCACAAGAAAAAAAAGTCAAAAAAGACTTTCTTTTATAACGAGTGAATGTTTCCTTTTTACAAATGCCCACCACTAAACTAAAGCCAAAATAAATACAAATTTGCAACTTCTATTTACCACCTTCTATGATTTGTATGTTTCAACCATCAATTATTTCTTCTGATTATGATTCATATGGGTTAAAGTGCTAGGTAAACTTTTTTTTTTTTTTTTTTTTTTTTTAATAGAGGCATGTTTTATTTATTTATTTATTTGTTTGTTTGTTCGGTTTTTTTTTTTTTGTTTGTTTGTTTATACATGCACTGGGTACAGTCAGAAGCGCAGGAGGGTGAGAGAACTAAACTTTTTAAATGAAATCAAATCATATTTCTAAGGGTGGGGGACTTATTAGAGTAGATCCAGTTTTTAAAGTCCAGAATGTTGGAATAATCATAGAATAAATTGATTTCCTGGAATTTGGGACATAAATGCAATCTGTGTAATGCTTTTTGAAGTCATTTGGGAATTTTTTCATGTTTTTTGGTCATGGGGTAAAGACAGTCACCAACTTTTGTCCACACAAAGTATTATGTATAAAAGCTTCCTGGTTCTGGAACAAAGAAGTATTTTATTGCTCAAAGCAAAAGGAAGATATCTTCCTTCCATTTATTATTGTTATATTAAAATAGCATACCAATGAAACCAGTTAGGTATCTGCATGACCCAAGCTATGTAAACAAAGATAAACTGTTCATTATTGGGAGTGACTAGGGGGGAGCATTGGTGGGGGGAGGATAGGAAAGGGTAATAGTTTCTCACACCTAAGAAAACAAAGTTTACCAAGCCAAAGAAAACCATCAGGAATAAGAATTTCCAATATGGGGGAATTTTAAGAGGCGATCTTAATTTAAGGGTTTGCCAATCTATGCTAAGATGCATGGTGGGTAATACTTGGCACAGGAAAATGTGAAAAAAGAGGTGACCTGTCAAACAGCTGCCATCGATGGAATCACTCCCTCAAGAGCACCTCCAACTTCTGGGGTGATGTCTGTGTATGACAGAAAGATGTCAATGCACCAGGAGAACCATGGGGGCTGCTGCAGCAGCAGCAAGTCCAAACAGTGCCTCCCAGGGTGAAATCCCACCGCACCCTCAAGAGCCGGCCAGACCGAGGCTCTCCCCTAATGTGAATCTACCTCCCATAAAAAATAGATACATAATCAAGACCCGTGCCAACCCGCTCTCCCGTCCTTTGTGACTCCTCCAAGAGCAGGAGGGATGTCACATCCTGCAGGCCGGGGGTAAGCCGAATCCCACGCCACCGGGGTGGCGTCCCGGAGCCTGTCCGCAGGGGGGCTGGGGGAGGGGGTCGGGCCGGTGCCCCCCATCCACGGACAGGGCTGGTCCCCCGCCACACAAAGGAGCCGGCGGCGGGCTCTGGACGCGGGGACCGGCCCGGGAGCCGGCGCCACATCTGGTCTCCGCACCCCGGGAGGGCGAGACCCGCCGGAAAATGAGGCTTAACGCCCAAACCTGTTGCATGATTCGGGTCCTTTTCACCCAGAAAAGAACAAGGGCGCCTCGGACGGGCGCAGGGAGCGGGCTCCGCGGGCCCCGGCCGCACCCGGCGGGCGGCGCGGAGGCAGAGACCGCCCGCGGGGCTCCCACCTCGGGCGCTTTGTCTGCGGCGGCGGCCGCGGGGGCAGCGGCCCGGGCGGCGGGGCCGCACCGCGGAGGGAGGGGCGCCCCCGCCCCGCCGCCCCGCCGCCCCCGCCCCGCCCCGCGGCCCGCGCCGGGGAAGAAAGCCGGGTCGGCCGCCGCCGCCCCAGCCGCCCGCGCTCTCCGCCCCGCCGCGAGGCCTGCGCGCTCCGCCCGCCCGGCCCGGCCGGCCGCACTCACCTGGCTGGCGCTGACGCTGCGGCCGGCGGCTCCGGGGCGGTGGGAGGACGCGGGGACGCGAGCGAGGCGCGGGCGGAGGCGGAGGGCGAGGCGGTTGGAAGGCGGGCTGGGGGCGGAGCGGGCCCGGGCGGCGGCGGCGGCGGCGGCGGCTCGAGTCGCTCGCGGCAAATCGCGTCCCGGCCCCTCAGTGCGTCAGGCGGGGGGCGGCGGCGCGGCGGCCCTGCGACCTCCCGGCCCCGCGGCCGACCCGCGTCAGCGCGACCCCGCGCGCCCGGGGGCGGCCAGGCGGGGGCCCCGCCCGGGCCGGCAAGGGGGCGAGGCGGGGCGGCCCACCCGAAATGGGGGCTGGGCGAGGAGGGGGCCCCCGGAGCACCCCGGCGGACGCCGCGGTCCCCACTAGAGTAGGAGCCCCGAGCGCCCCAGCCGGCGGGCAGGGGGGCAGCGGGAGGAGCGCGGAGCCAGAGTCAGGAAGCCGGGGCTTGAGGAAGGACCTGCTACTTGACACCTCGGCAAGTCATTTGTTTGTTCTGTCCTCGTCATGAAATAGGTAGGTTCGAGTATATGGTCTCCAAGATTTTCAGAAATCTGGCATTGTCATCCACTGTTGGGGTTCTTTAACCCCCCAGTGCACGACCCGGAGATGCCAGGAAAAGGGGGTGGGGTGACTCTCCACGGGCTGTGCTGTGACTTTAGGATGAATGGGTTGCAGCAAGGAAAGGCTGGATTCAGGGATTTATGTTTCCGTTGAACAGTCCAAAATTTATCCAGTGATCCTCGGGTAATGGCTGCTTTCCCATCTTCACCAATCCCAGTTATTTTTCTCCACATTCTCCAAAAATGTTCTGCACAAACATTCTTCTCAAGTTATTGCGCAAATCATTTCTATGTCATTTCCTGATTTCAGTAAAAAAGAGTCATCAGCGAATACACACAAGCCCTGGGCGGCCATGTGGTGCCAACCCCACACCTTTCATTTTACTCTGCCACTCACTTCAGCATCACCCCATTCCATTGATAAAATCTTGCCATTCCAACAACCAGGCAACCAAAGGTCTCCCTGCTGAAGTTCTCTGATTTAAAAACCCATGGATTAATTCTTCCTCTTAATTGTGTGACTAATAATCTGTATCCATGACTTCAACCTTGTTCCTGTTCTTTAGGTCAAGCCTCTCTGATTTCACTTCTGCTTCTATTCCTTATGATCCCCAGAGTATTTCCCCTAAAACACAGAGTATCTAACAAAATCCTTCAGAAAGCTCCCCAGCTGTACGGTCAGTTTCAAGCTAATCACCATGGTGTACAGTCATTTATAATCTGATCCCTATACTTCTTCAGCTCCAGCTCTAACACCCACCACTAAGATTCAGCAGGCTCTGTGTCTGCACATTGATATATTCCCCCCATCTGAAATTCATCCCTCACTTAACCAGGTGAACACCTACTATCTTTCAAGACAATATGGATAATGCATCATTTCCTCTTTGGAATCCTCCTTGCCATCCCCTCACCACACCCACATCCTCATCCCAAACAGTAACTCTTTTCCTTTTCCATTGCTTTCATGGAAAATATTACCCATCCTCCATGTTACTCCATTGTGCTTTCTTTTTCCCCACTGCTCTGCTTTGTGATCTTTTTTAGTAGACAATGTTCCTTACGGGGATAGAGAATTTTGTCTAATTCATTTTTGGCTCCCAGACATAGCACAATGTTCAGTAAAGAGAAGATTCTCTTTAAAGATGTGTTGAAGTTTTGATGTCATTATTCATTCCAACAAATAGATATTGAGCATCTCCTCAACAATCAGGAAATACAGTGCAACCCACAGTCCCTGACTTCCCTGATCTCCCACAGTATTCTGTTCTCTTTCTCTACTATATGGCATTCGCTGCTCATATTTTTAAATCCTCTTCTACTACCACTCACATTCTTTGCTTGTTTTAATAACTCAAGAACATATGAGGGCCTCTCCGGTGGCGCAGCGGTTGAGCGCTGGGTTGCAAAGCTGCCGCGGACTCTGCAGCGCCGGTTCGATCCCCAGCTGCTCCCCGGCCACCGGAGGAGGGTCCCACATGTTGTGCAGACCTCTCCTGCCGCCCTCTGCTCCCCTCAGCAGTGTACTTCGTCCTTCTGCCAGCTCTGCTCCCCGCTCTGGCTCTGGTGAATTCTCTCACCCTCCCGCGCTTCTGACTGTACTCAGTGCATGTATGAACAAGCAAAACAAACAAACAGATAAGTAAATAAATAAAACATGCCTCTATTAAAAAAAAAAGAACATATGAGACAATCCAGTCTAGTAATTCACAAAACATCCCTGCCCTTCCTCTTTCCATACCCTCTAGGTCCACAGTGCATTATCCAGATATTAGATAAGAGATAACTGCTGTAACTGAAAAAACATTAGACTAAATCCAGAGAATGAAGTTTTTCATTCTTCAGTAACGAATGAATAAACATAGCTCAGGCATTTAAATTCACTAGGCCTCGTTTATGTAGTGCCTTTGGTTCTATGATTAGAATTCATTTTTAGTACTTTGTTACCAAGGTAATTATATCCTTCTTTATGTGTTTAAATTGAAAGGACTACCAGCCTCTTGCAAAGTAGAGTTATACAACATATGCTTGAACTCTGAGTGATCAAGAACCACTTGCTACCTCACAACATAATCATCTGTGATGGTCCTGCTAGTCCCTGTATTGAACTGAAACGTGACTTCCTATAAATTCTATCAGTAGCTGTCGTTTTAGTAAAAGCATCATGGAATTTAAACTTCAAAGCCTTAGGGTCAAGTCCCAGGTCTCTATAAACTTCACAGCTGTGTGACCTTGGGCAATCACAAAACTGTTCCAAGTGTGAGTGCTGGGCTCTAAAAAGGGAAAGTAATAATAGTACTTTAAATCATTATCATACGCATGGCTACATGTGTATTAATTGGAATCTGTTACTACAGTGGTATAATCTAAAAAAGGGAGTTTTACTCATTCTCTGTCCCACCTAATGAAGGGTGGAGCTGAGCACTGAGGCTGAGCAATGAAGAGGAGCTAAAAAGGACTTGGAAGACTTGGGGAGAGGAAAGTTGGAGGAGGCATGTGGAGCAGAGACATGTGAAGAAGAAACATGCTTGCTTCTTGGCCTTGAACTTGCACCAGGAACTTGGTACACACGGAAGGAGACACTTGGAAGTCACGTAGGTGAGAAACCCAGTGGGGAGGCTGATAATGGCAGTCTTTATCTTGACTTGTACTTTGATTTTGCTCCTTTCCTTCCAGGCTTGCTTGGTCCCTTCTGCCCCTTTCCTTGGTTCCCTGCCAGAAGGTAACTCAGACTTGTAGCATACTTTTAAGCCTCAGTGGCCAATCCTGTTAAGCTGGGCATTTGCCCATGAGGAGATTAGTGACTTTGGATGTTTTATTGGAAACTATTATCTTTTCTCTATTGCACATTAATTCTATTAAAGTTCTTTTCTACTGAAGGTCTCACACATTTAGAGTACATTTTTTCTTTCTGCGGCAGATGGCAGAATCTATTTGAAGCATGCAAGGTTTGGGGGTTTCAGGGTGACCTTCATTCTACCCATGAACAGGACTAAAATGTATTCTGGAGAGAACAGCCCACCTTCCCTTCTATACATAGACTTTTAAATATTTAAAATCAGCAGTCTTCTCATACTCACTGCCCCACTCAGTTCCATACACTCTCATCTAAACATACACCCTACATTGTAGATGCCTCTTACAATGTAGCATCTAGAACTGAGTCCAGTATTTCAGGTATAAAGACAGTAGAGAAGTTCAATTTTCTGTATTTTTATGATATTTCAAAATTCAGTTTAATATCACATTAATATTTTTTCTGTCACCTCATACTATTCATAAATGTCATGTTTTTGCCAAATAAAAAGAAATAATACCCCAAAATCTTTTTTTAAAAATAGTAACATATATGCATTGTAAAACCATGTCTCTTCCAACCTGTTTCTGTAGACTGAGCGCAGATTCTTTGGAAAGAATACCAAAGTCACTTTCAACAGGTTCCTACATTCCTAATTTCTCCCCTACAACTTCCTTAAGCATTTTATCAAAAGCTACATTTAAATGTTGTCTAAAATTACCTTACTTCTCACACTTATCTTGTTTTATTTTTATAATCAGTTGATTTAAAAACACCTTTTATGTTTATGTGTTTCCCATACTTTTTTCACTGGAACCTACCAAAGTAAAACTGATTGGTATTTTTAATGCCTTTTTACTAAAGCTCAGCAGGGCTAGCTAATTTGTTGGTTTGGTTTTTTTAATAAAAGATTTATTTATTTATTCATACAAGAAGTGGGGTACAGGCCAGAAGTGTGTATGTGTGTGAGAGAGAGTGAGAGAGAGAGAGAGAGAGAGAGAGAGAGAGAGAGAGAGAGAGAGAGGACTCACCAGTGACAGAACGGGGGACAGAATAGGCAGACTGACTGAAAAACACTGCTGAGGGGAACAGAGGGCAAGACAGGAAAGGTCTGCTGTCCATGTGGGTAGCTCCCTGGCCAGGGATCAAACTTGTGCTACAGTGGCTGCAGATAGCTTCATAGTGCTGTGCTTAACCCCTTGTGCAACCAGGAAGGCTGGAAATTTGTTGAACATTCACTGCAACAGAATCCGCTTCTAGGACAAATTTCCCCACCCTCAATTCAGCTGAAGAGGCAGCCCCAGGCAGTAATTTTGCATCATGTAATCCTAGAACCACTGCTGATTATCCCTAGGAGGATACCTGACCTATAAACAGCCAAGTCAAATCCATTCAAAGAGACCTGGGAAGAAACTCAATCCCAAGAAGCTAGTTCAATCGGATAGTTAATTGCAGAAACTGAATTCAAAAGGAGGCACAGAGTGCCCCTGGGAGGGGAGGCCTGTGGCAGATCACCAGTGAGCAGAGGTTAAGTTCAGCCAATGACTAAGCAGAAAACATCAGTTCACACATTCATTTCCTCATTCATTCAACCAGTCTCCTCTGTTTTAGGTGCTGAAGATACATTATGGACAAAATATGCAAAAATCCTACTTCCTGGATCTTGTGTTTTGGTGGCTAGGACAGGCAATAAATACAACAATTAAATAAATCAAATAGTATGTTAAAAGGTGGTGTAAGTGTTGAGTAAAAATAATGAAGAGAACAGGACGAGAAAGTACCAGGGATTGAGGATTACAATTTATAATATCACGAATAGGGAAGGCCTCACTAAGAAGGTAGGGTTTAAGCTAAGGCTTGAAAGAGATGAGGCACAGAGCCTATAGTAAAGAAAAAAGACACAGAAAGTAGAAGCTGAGAGACATATTGCAGGAAAGAACTGCGGTGCAGGCTGGAGGCACAGAGGTGAGAGAACTCACCAGAGATAGCAGCAAATGAATTCAAAAAGCAGACTTTTAAATAGACTGCAAAGAGAAACAGTGAGTGAAACAGGGGAGATCTATTGTATGGAGAGAGGGTCTCCAGGCTCTATTTATAGTCCAGGCATCATTGATTGATTAGGGTGACTAGTCTTGGGTGTGTCCTGGCTAATAATCTGCATCATCTGTTTAAGGGCCCAGTTCCCAGGACAGTCCCATCCACTCCCTTTATCAATTTAAGCCTCCCAAACTTGCTTTCTGGGCAAGGAGTGGGGGCTTAGGTTTTAAATGTTGTAAAAATACACAACAGGAGGCAACTTGTAGCAAGCTAATCCCTAAGCAGTCACAAAAAGAATAGTAAAATCAAGAACAAGGTAATTCAAGTACTTCCCCCAGGGGTACTAGACCAGGGCCTTTGGCAGTGCAGTCTCAAAATATGTACTTTGAAAATGTTTCCAGGTGATTGTGATGTTCCAGCAGGATGGGAATCCCTGGTATACAGGAAAGACCCACACACTCCTACTGAGGCCTTGGGTTCTGACATCCTTCAAACTCTGTGTTCCAGAAACTCAATTTGCACACCTCTCTTCCTAGAAGACTTGGTTGTTCAACTTTGCCATCATTCTTGGGAAGTTTTCTATCATGGTGAGATTTTAGTTATTCTAATTTGCCTATGCATTCTATACAAACTAATAACCAAGAAACCCAATACCCTATTCTGAAACCCAACACCCTGTTCCCTGAAGGCACATGTTTGAATGTGTCTTGCAGCCCAAATCACTAAACATACCACAGTCACAAAGCACTGGACTGGTGTTTCTGCTTTCTGTTTTGCTTTCTTTCTTACCTTTAGGGACAAAACGAAATTGAAAGTTTGTTTGGCATTTTATTACATGTCAAAATCAGTATTTGAAAAATTGTCCAAATGTTTTAAAATCTAAAAATCATGTAACGTTTATTTTCATGGTATACATTTAATACGTTATTGAATTTTCAAGATAAATAATAATTTTATTTAAAATTACTTTGAGTATTCAGTTTATTAGTTTTCACATTTGACATTTTAGTTCCAAGCTGAAAATTTTCCTTTTTCACTGATGCAATTAAAAAGATCAGTTATTTAATTGAGACTATATCAAACTAAAAAGCTCTGCATAGGGGAAGAAACTAACTAAAACAAAGACATCCTACTGAATAGGAGAATATATTCACACACCATACATCTGACAAGGGGCTAATCTCCAAGATCAACAAAGAACTCATGCAACTCAACAACAACAACAACAACAAAAAAAAAAAAAAACAAATAACCCAATCAAAAAATGGGCAGAAGAGCTAAATAGGCACTTCTCCAAAGAAGACATGCAGATGGCCAACAGGCACATGGAAAAATGTTCATTATCACTTATCATCAGGGAAATGCAAATCAAAACTGCAATGAGATACCACCTCATTCCTATGAGAATGGCCCATGTCAAGAGACCAAAAACAAGTGCTGGCAAGGATGTGTAAGAGAAAACTCTTACACTATTGGTAGAAATGTACACTCATTCAGCCCCTGTGAAAAACAGTGTGAAGGTTTCTCAAAAGATTCAAAATTGGGCCTCCCCGGTGGCACAGCAGGTTGAGTGCCACGCTGTGAAGCTGTCCGCAGCCTCTGCAGCATGCCAGTTCGATCCTGGCCAGCCGAGGAGAAGTCCACATGGCAAAGCAGACCTCTCCTGTCTCTCCCACTGCTCCCCTAAGCAGTGTATTTCGTCAGTCTGCCTGTTCTGTTCCCCACTCTGTCTCTGGTGAATCCTCTCGCCCTCCCACGCTTCTGACTGTACCCCAGTTCTTGTATAAATAAATAAATCTTTAAAAAAAAAAAAGATTCAAAATTGATCTATCATACGACCCAGCAATTCCCCTCCTAGATACATACCAGAAGAATGCAAAACACTAATGTGCAGTTCTATGTTCATTGCAGCCCAATTTACAATAGTCAAGCCGTGAAAACAACCTAAGTACCCAAAGACAGAGTGTGTTAGGAAAAGTGATGTAGTATATATGCACAATGGAAACTACTCAGTTATTAAAAAAAAAAAAAAAAAAAAAAAGACATGGCATTTGCAATATGGATGGAACTGGAAGGGATTATGCTAAGCAAAGTAACTCAAAAGGAAAAAGACAAACACCTGATGGTGTCACTTAAATGTGACATATAGAGAAACCAAAGGGTCAGATAAAGCCAGACTCAAAAACTAAACCTTTAAGGTTGACTATAGAATTGAGGCATTCAGAGGGGAAGTGTTGAGGAAGGAGCAAAAGCAAAGTGGGCAGGGACGGCAATGGACTATGGTGTTGTGGTGGGAGCACTGTACTAACAACACCTGACAAGGGTGATCCTGTATCTCTAAAATATAAACAACAACATTACCTCAATAAAAAAGAAAAAGAAAAAAGAATCTAGCACCTTAGATCTCATAGTTGCCATTGTTTTGCCCAGAGTGCCACATTATATTGATGTTCAATAAATATTTACTAATCTGTTTTTTAATTGGTTATTTTTAGAAATTATACATTCATGGTTCTGAAAGTATAGCAGTAACACTTTAAAGGTAATTTTTGTTTGTTTTGTTTATTTCTTTTGACCACATTTCATTTCATCATCTAAGCCAATGTACTTAAGAGGCTTTTTAGACAACACAATATTTTCCAAGGCCAACATAATGTGCATTCACTTGTGTCAGGCAAGTTTTCTCCCCAGTCACACTGTCACGAAATATTTGTGGTAAATAGGTGAAAGAAAAGAGGAAAAAAAATTACTCGATTTTTTTTTTCAAATTAGCAAAATCTTTTTCTAACAAAACTCATTTCTTTTTCTAGTTGTGGAATCACAGGACTTCAAAGCTGGAAGAGACCCCCATCTATTACAAAATCCTCATCCTTTTGTGAGATGGAAAGGTGGAAGATACCCAATATATTACCAAATCCTCAACCTTTTGTAACATGGAAAGTTTGTGTGATATACCAATTCTAGAGCTAGCTAAAAAAATATCAAGAGTAGGACCCAAACCTCCTGACTACTCATTGATACCTGCTTAAAGTATTTAAGAATTTGCTGTATATATAATCTATGTGTACAAATAGATGACATGCAGATTTAGGTTTAATACAAATATAAATAGTGCTTTAAGCAGAATAATAGAAAATGTAATAAAATTTTCTGAATAATAGAAAATGTAATAAAATTTCAGACTAAGGAAAAGTCTCTAATTTCAATAATTGATTTACTGTCACTCTTAGTTAACATAAACTTTGTAATAGATATTAACAAAGTAGGTCAAGTTAAAAGCAAATTGTTTGGGCAAATTGTTTTAAAAGCTTCTGGCAATATATAATATATTGCATAGTAGAACACAGTAAATTGGCTAAGCCAATTTTTATCTTCTCATCAGTAAATTTTCTTCCAATAAGTACCATTAAATGTCAATACAAGGTATACTTAGGTAGGTGTTCCAGCACCAGAACTCATTGGTTCCAAGTACCAACACCAGTTTGAACTGGATTAGGATAGAGGGCCAATGGCATTTCTGTGGAGTACTATGCATTTTCTGGGAAAATATTGAAGTAGCTCAAGAGCACTGAAAGAAGACCTACACTTCTGTGGACCTCAAAACCAGAACCAGAGACCCCAGCAACATTTGCATCTTTCTCAGTCCCTTCTCTCAAACCTGTTCCTCTCTGACTTGTCTTCAATCTGTCCAATAGCAAACCAGTTCTGTTTTAGACAAGAGTCTGAAGGTATTGTCCAGCTGATGAATTATTCATGTAGAAAAAATAACACTGGTGACTTATTTTTGGTCAAATGAATGTTCAGACTCTGTGGCCAGTAGAACCAGATTGGCCTTAGGCATGGAGGGTTGGGTATATAACTGGCAATTCCCGTCATGGGGAGAAGTCTCCTTCAAAGGACCTCAGGCATTGCCTGTAAAAGGAAAGAAAGGCTACCAGGCTGACAAAAACAAAAGCTATTCACCGCAAGGTATGTTTTCCCTAAATCTCACAGTAGAATAGCAATTTTTTTGAAATATTTTATTATCCATTCAAATATTAAAACTGTAATGTAATTTACTTCTACTCTTATCATACTAAAAACCTAGACTCAAGCAACTTTTTTTCTTGTTTGTTGATGTCCCTTAAAATCTTAGCCTAGAAAAATTATTCAATTTATTCATGATTATGATATAAATACAGTTTTGCTTAATCAGAGCATTTTTGCTTATGACTTGCACTATAGGCTTAAAAAACTTTATTCCAATTTAAGAAGGTAAAAGTACTGATTGCCAAATTTAATCTACATCATGAAATAAATGTTTCTCATTTAAAAAAGTGTGGTTGTTAGAAAGTTAGTTTGTTACATGGTTAATCCAATATGGACCTAGGTCTGAGTTATTAGTAAGACAGAAAAGAATGCTAAAAGCAATCTTGGCCCAAGTCATAAGGCTTACTTTTGTTTTTCTAATGTGTTCCATTCAGCAGCCTGAACACAAAGGTCAAGAACATTTACCTCAGTGGTCAAGCAATGTGTTCTGCTCTAGAATCTCAAAATCTGAGGCAGGAAGTTCCCCTTGAATGTCAATTCTCTGGTGATTAGAAATGGCTTTTTTGTTTGCCAACACTTTTTTTTTTTTAAACCCTGTGCTCTTGCATGAAATAGGGAAAAACCACATTTTTAAAAAATGTCCACCCATGGTCCAGGTTCCTTCCACTCTGTCATCCTCTGCAGTTTCTCTGGAGAGGTGGTGAACTGGGCTGTGACTTTTGCTGCTGAATGGCAATAGTGGAGTCCCATTGCATGATGTGGAGTAGGCAGCAACAACACAAAAGCAAAGAATTGATTTGGTTGTGGGATTAAGTGGAAAATGGAAAGAATTGCCTTTTGTATCTGTGCAACTTTTCCTCTCCTTCTGAATAAAACATTATTATGTAACAAAGAGCCTTTAAACAATGTGTTTCTTTTTTGTTTAATTGGCGATTTGACAAATACAGCTTGTGTCATCCTGGGTTAAAGCCACTACTTAGGGTGTGGAGTTACTTGATTCTGGGCTGTGGATCAGTGCTCAAAACATGTGACACAACCGAGGTTCATGGCTCATTAAAATTATCTTAGATTTAGGGAAAAACAGAAATTAAAATTGTATTTCTCTTTGGGGACTTGAAGAAAGGGAATCACCAATCAGGCCCAAGCTGAGCATTTTATTCCCAAACCTTAACTTTTCATATAAAAAATTATGCAAATAAATCAATACATGTAACACAATTCTAAAGAGGAAAACAATCACAGTGGAAACTTTTCCACTTAAAGTATGGCAGCAAATTTGGGGCAAAAGTTATTGCTCGGTTTACTTTCCTGAGAAACAATGGATGTCGTGTCTGTACAAAAATGATGTCAGATGAAAAGTACCCTACTCTAGAACAACATTTCAATATTCTATGGTGAGGCCTCAACTTGGTTGTAAGTAGGAAGATGTGTCATTTTAATGTAATACTGTTACAGAGGCATCTCCATTGATAGGGAAGTACCACTTTGACCACCTATACAACATAGGATGGAGCTGAGTGACCAGGTATGTAACACAGAAGGCAGGTGCGCTGGGAGAGAGACATGTGGAGAAGAATGGCTCACTTGCTTCTTGGCTTTGGGCTTACTCAGGGCTTACTCACTTGGGGGACTTGGAGGAGACATGAGGAGGAAAGACATGAGGGACACTGACTGTGGTAGCTGTTCACCTTGATATGTTACTTTGGTTTTGCTCCTTTTGACCCAATTTCTGGGACCTGCTTCAGAACTCCTTTCCTACAGTTTCCTGCCAGAAGGTGCCTTAAACTTGTGATGAACTTTTGGACTTCAGTGTCCCTACTTCAGATCAACTCTGGTGGAGCATTTTTACCCAAAAGGGAACAGGTAATTTGGGGTATTTTATTGGGAAAACTGATTAAGAATATTCTTCTTTCCTTCTGCACACTAGTTCTATTAAAATTCTTTCATACTAAAAATCTGCTCTTCTTTTGTGCACATGGATGACTGAATTCCTTTACAATGTGCAAGTTTGAGGGTTCCAGGTTACCTCTTAGTCATATGCTACTAATACAACTAATTTTTAAGCATTTTACTTGGGAAAAAAGAGTAAACAGAAACATGAGAAAAGATGTTCAATGATTTATTTGTTCACGCACCAAGTGTGCAGTGCTAGCACTACATTAGAGACCTGGAGACAAACACATTATGAATCTGCTCTCAGTCTGTATAGAGGCAGGAACCCAACTAGTCAATGCAGTGGGATATATATAAAAATTGTCATTAAATTCTATACAATGCTACTAGGACAGAGATAAGTTGCTGCAAGCTTTGTGGAGGCTTCCACAACTGAATCTAGAAGAAAGAATATTGTTGCAGCTGAGAAAAGAGAGAAAAGGCAGAAGAAACAGTGTATACTGTGGCTGAGAGGCACTAAGGAGCCTGCTACTTGGACGAGAAATTTGAGTATTCTTGCTATGGCTAAATGAGCAGAGAATCATTTAAGGGAAGATCAAAATGAGAAGTACCTGTCAGTGAGAAGTAGGAAATTCAAAAGCCTGCAGAAGCCAGGCAGATAATTAAAATGAAGCTGAGCAGGCCTAGATATAAACTCATTCACTGTGAGTGCCTAAGTGAATAGTCACCAGAGGACACAAAATCTAAAACATTGCTCCAAATTTTACACCCCCAAATATGAGAGACTGCTTCTTTCCCCATATTCTTGCCAAGAATAGGTAGAGTACCCAATATTTTTAGGTGTTTTTTATATTTTATAATTAATAAAAATATTTTAAATATTTTTCATTCACTCAACAAATATTTATTGAGTGCCTTCTATTGTGAGGTATCGTATTAGGACTGAGGATAGAGCAGTGAATGAAACAAAAATGCCTACCCTCATGGAATTTACAGTCTAGTGTGGGGGAGACAAAATAGAGAAATAAAATGTGTTGTCATCAGATAAATGCCGTGGAGAAAAATAAAGGAGAGACAACCTACAGAAAATGAGAGCTAAACCGGATTAGAGGTAGGACAGATCGAAGGCCTCACCCACAAGGTAACCCTTGAACAGACTGCTGCGGAAGGTGAGAGAAGTGGCTCTGCAGACTGTGGGAAGAGCTTTTCAAGCAGAGGAAACAACAAAGCAAAGGCCCTGAGGTGAGATCATGCCTGTCCGGGCAGGGAGATGAAGGGGGGGTGGGGTAAACTTAAGGTCCTTTAGGGAAAGATTGAGGCTTGGGCTCTGAGAAAATGAAAAAGCTTTGAATAGTTTTGAGCAGAGAAGTGATTGGTGGGTTTTGGATTTTTAAAGATTCTCTGGCTACTACTTGCAATTCTAAATGACTTGGGGGAGAGGGTGGGAGCTCAGAGATAAGCTGAGGGGAGAACTGCTCAGGACAAACGCCTTGGGGTCAGAGAAGGGGTAGGAAGGTTGGGCTCTGGTGTATTTTAAAGATAGAGCACCAGGAGTCCCTGATGGTTGGATATGGGGTGTTAGGGGAAAAAATGAAGATGGAAACAAAGCTAAGTTTGGAGCAGGGAACAATTACAGTGATAATATTCCATTCACTATGGAGAAAATTGTAGGAACAATTTGGATTGGGCAGATAGGAGAGCTGATTAATTAATAATTTGGTTTTGGAAATGTTAACTTTGAGATACCAGAAAGTAAGCATAAATTTAAAATAAACTGTTGAACATATGAGTCTAGATTTAAAGGTAGAGGTCTGGACTAGAAATATACATTTGGAATTTGTTGATGTATCAGTGTATAGATAACGTTAAAACTGGCAGGCTTTTAATGAGATTCATCAGAGAGCAAGTATAGAGAAGAGGTCTAAAGACTCAGCTCTGGGAGACTCTAATACTTAGAGACTGAGAAGATAAGGAGGAATCAACAAAGGAAAACAGCATTGAGGATGTAGAAAAACAGTGTTTCGAAAAGCGAAGGGAGTGATTGAACTCTGGCAAATGCTTTTAGCGGAGCAAGTCTATTAGGGTTCTCAGAATGCAGTGTGTGTGTGTGTGTGTGTGTGTGTGTACACATATATGTATATCTATATATACATATATAATTTTTTTAATAAAGAAATTAACTCAAGCAAATATAGAGGCTGACAAGTCTAAAATCTGCAGGGTAGATCAGTGGAGACCCAGGAAGGGTTGACATTGCAGTTCAGATCCAAAGGCCTTCTGCTATGGAGTTCTTGTTGAGGAAAATGCCAGCCTTCTGTTCTACTCATCTCTGAATAAACAAGCCCCATCCACATTTGGAAGACAGCCTACTTTTTTCAAATTATACCAATTTAAATGTTATCTCATCCAAAATTAACTTTAACAGAAACATCTAGAGAAGTGTTTGCCCAACTACCTCAGCACTATGGTCCAACAAGGTAATCCATAAAATGAGCTGTCACAGCAAGTGAGACCAGGTTGAGAAGCTAGCACTATATTTATGAAACAATGCACAGACTAATGGCATTAGGAAGCACAGTTTTGAGAAATGGTGAATGGTGAGAAGAAAAAGTTTTGTTAGAATGGGTTCACCAGAAAAAAAAAAAAAAAAGGAGATCATTTTCTGCTACAAGCCCAAAATGCAACGCACATCTGGGCTCACAGGACACGAGGGAAAGAAAATGAAGCAGTGGACTAGAAGTTAGGAGGACATGATGAGGAACTTGTGTGGGGCTGCTCTCTCATGAGAGGTCAAAATGACTGGCAGCGGTACCAGGTTTCTATGTGGGATATATGGCTTCACACAGAAGAGGATTTTAGGAAACATATCCTCCACTTAAGTCCTTCAGATTCCCACAGATTAATATCAACCAGATATGAGTTCATAATCTGTGTTTATAAGAAAAACATAAGGAAGCAAATTCATGAGAGTATTATCAGAAACAATAAATACTAGATCTAATTTCCCACAGCTTTCAGATATTGGAGTTAGCAGACAAAGAATTAGAAAAAACTATTATAAAATACAGAAATAAACGATAAGAAAGCAATAAGAGGGTATCCTGTAAGATTAGGCATATTTGCAAACCAAGCAAAGTTTTTATTTATTTATTTTTTTTTTATAGAAGCATGTTTTATTTATTTATTTGTTTGTTTGTTTGTTTTGTTTATACATGCACTGGGTACAGTAAGAAGCATGGGAGGGTGAGAGAATTCACCAGAGCCAGAGCAGGGAGCAGAGCAGGCAGAAGGACCGAAGTACACTGCTGAGGGGAGCAGCGGGCGGCAGGAGAGGTCTGCGCGCCATGTGGGACCCTCCTCCGGTGGCCGGGGAGCAGCCGGGGATCGAACTGGCGCCGCAGAGGCCGCGGGCAGCTTCACAACCCAGCGCTCAACCGCTGCGCCACCGGGGAGGCCCCAAGCAAAGTTTTTAGACTTAAAAAATATTTTTTTATTAAGGTTAAAAATCTCAATTGATTCGTTAAAACATATTTACCACAACTGCATAAAAATATTGAAAATTTAGAGGACAGATCTGAAAATATATAGAAAGAATGCAATACAGTATATAAGCAGATGGAAAATATGAAAGATTATAGTCAGTGAAATAGTCGCATGAGATTACTAGGAAGAAAGAAATAGAAAGCCCATTTGCTCTATGGGCCTAGCACCAAGTTGGCAAGCTCAGGATAAAACCCATGGGCTTCATATACACTGACCTGAGTCTGACTGTGTGCCCCCAAATCTTAAACTGATCCAATTAGTGTTTTCCTTTGTGGGAAGCTTTCCTTTGTGGGAGGAGCTTGTAGAAATGACAGAGGCAGCAGAAGTTCCTTATTCTAGTTATCAATAATAAATGTGACATATAAACAGTGGAGCTTCTTACAATGTGCATGTTTTAAATTGGGACTAAAATCTTCCTATAAAACTAACCTCATCATGTGACTTCAGTATTGTC